GCAAACCTGGAGGCAGAGGCAGGCAGATCTCCGAGTTTGAGGCCAGTCTAATCTACAAAGTGAGTTCCAGGACAGCCAGGATTGTTACACAGAGAAACCTTGTCTTGAAAAAAAAAACCCAACCAAACAAACAAAAAACATTTTCTCAAAGCTTGTTGGTGCAAGTCTCTAATTCCAGCATTAAGGAAACTAAGGCAGGAGGATCACCACAAATTTAAGCCAGCCAACGCTATCATGTGAGACCCTGTCTCAACAAACAAGCAAGCAAAATTTTGGCCAACAATAAGTCACACAACACCTCAGAGACCAGAGTGAATGGGGGAAGAAGGAAGGGAATAATCAGGAATTAGCAAGAAAGCTGGAACTCAGTAGGTATGGCCAGGTTCAGGCAAATGACCCTAAACAAGGTCTTGAGTGTGCACCTCAGTTTCCCATCTGGCAAACAGAAACATCTGCCGTGCTGGTTTATTACAAGAAAGAAATCAAATAACGTAGCTAGCTAGTAAGATAAGTAGTTGGAAGCATCTGACAGTCATGAGAACTGAATGGTAGATTACTATCAATTTAATGCAATATAACTCATCAAATATTGACTGAACCCTTACTACTTGCCTAGGACTGTATCCCTGGTGCTGGAATTGAAATGGACTGAATAAGACGTCAGGTTAACAACTTGGACCAGGGTAACTGGAATGAAGGCAGTTTGGGGCTCTGTAGCAGATAAACTATGTGTATATGTTATAAATATATTCATAGGTGTCCAGCCATTCGTTACTTTGTGTTGCTCCAATTTATCTCATTTCTTCCTTCTCTCCAACTATTCACGTTGGTTCCTATAATTCATGACATATATGGTGTTGGCTTAGTTAGGGTTTCTATTGCTGTGAATGAAAACCATAACCATGGCAACTCTTATAAAGTAAAAACTTTATAATAAATTTATATAAATTGTGGTAGCTTACATTTTCAGAGATTCAGTTCATTATCATCAGGGCAGGACATGGTGGCATGAAGGCAGACATGGTGCTGGCTTCATCTTGATCAGAAGGCAACAGGAAGTAGACTGAGACACTGGGCGTGGGTTGAGCATATATGAGACTTCAAAGACCACCCCCAAGTGACATACTTCCTCCAATAAGGCCACACCTACCCCAACAAAGCCACATCTCCTAAAAGTACCCTTCCCTTTGGGGGTCATTTTTATTCAAACCACCATATTCTACCCCCATGGCCCCTAAAGGCTTGTTGCTATGTCATAATGCAAAAATGCATTCAGTCCAACTTCAAAAGTCCCCATGGACTAAAATAGTCTCAAACTTTGAAAGTTTAAACTTTTAAAGTCTAAAGTTCAAAGCCATACAATCTCTTAACTGTAATACCCTATAAAATCAAAATAAAAAAAAGTGAATCACATACTTCTGATTGATTGAAAGCTTCACCCAGCCCCTGGCATTCATCTTTGAGGGGCCAATGAGGCAGAAAACTCCATCTCAAGCCCCTTCCCCCTGGGAGTTGCCTTGGTCCGGACTCCACCTCTGGAAAAGTCCTTCAGGACCACTCCCACAGGCTATTTAGGCTGCCACCAAAAAAAAAGAACACGTGGTCTTTGGGTTTTGCGTGCCGCCGCG